GATGGAGAGAAACTGCGCTGCTTTATTTTGGCTTGCCAGGATGAGGAGACTGGTGGATTTGCTGACAGACCAGGAGATATGGTAAATAATATTTTTCTAAATGAAATATACATAATTGAAAGTTTCAAAGGGAAAAGTAAAGTTTCTTGTTTGTGTGTAACTCAACTCATGATTCAGGTAGGTTTTCCAGACATTACAATTACTTTGAAGAAAGAATGGGTTAGAATTGCCTTTGAAGGCATACTTGGGAAGCAGATATTCTATATTGCACTTGTATCCCCCTCTAAAGTCAGTTGCCATTTTCTACAATTTCTGGTTTGGTTCTCATAACACATGAAATACAAATCATTTCTCACAAGACCACTTGGAAGATCTTTGTAAAAACAATGTTTGGTGGTGGGTTTTTTGGGATGTGTGGATTTTTTGTGTTTATTATTTTGTTTTGTGAAATGATATGCAAGCTAAAGAATGGTGGTTTTATCTGATCTAAATGAGTCATAAGTTTTTATCAAAAATCTCTATATGCTAACTTTTGTTCTGTGCCAGCCCAGCCACTGAATAAATTCTTTCACTGGCATTTGGCCAGGTGAGGGAGGAAGAAGCTTTTGTGATAGCAGTATGAAGAGGCTGGTGGTATAGATTTTCTGCTTGGTTGAGAGGCAATTATGATTTAGCTAGTCTGTTCTTTCTGGTTTCAAGTGGAAGTAATTGAGATTGTCCAGGTAAACTGGCACATAAGGTTCCTATCTTTCAAGGGCGCTGAACACATAAAGTAAAAAGTATTATGAGACCTCATTGCAATTCCTACAGAGCACTTGGCTGCTTATTTATTAACGGTCTGGGGAAGCCTTAGCTGTTTTTATTGCAGCTGTCCATGTCTGCTCCATTCTCCACAAATGCATTAAAAAATAAGGTGCTTTATTTTTCCTTGCAAGCTGATACTTTATTCCCAGTTGGGGGAGAAATCTCTTTAGTCTGTCATTTGGAAAGAGTTTTTGTGTTCTTAAAATGGAAAGGATTTTGTATTTCTAAGGAGCTCACAGAAGGACATTTTCCCTTTTCAGAATTCTCAAAGAAAAGTCCAACACTTAAAATCTAAATATTTTTCTGGCTTGGAGATTAAACTTGAGCTATTGAAATATTCGTGACTTCCTGGAAGAGCAGCTTTGCAGAACCTTTTACCTGTATCTAATGCGAGCACCTTTGGGAGAGGTTTTGGCATGCTATATTAGCAGTCATTTCATATTATTTTTACCTGTCCTCTATTGCTGAAATTGGCACTCCCATGGAAATGTTGATTTATTACTGCAGACACTCACTCCTAACAGACCCTGTTTTGGGGGTTTTTGTGTTTAGGTTGTTTGTTAGTTTGGCAGTTCTAGGGGGGGCATCTTGTAGTTTTGGGAGTGCAAGTTTGGGGAGTTTCTGTTTTATTTATAGTTTGGGGAGGTTTTCTAGCAAAGTAGGTTGCTGCTTCCCTCTCAAGATTTTATAGCACAGCTCTGTATTTGGAGATGATTAAAGAGCATTATGATGTTCCTGAAGAACAAACGGGGGATTTATGGAAGCAGTACTTGTAGATGATCAAATTTACTTTTAAAATTCTAATTATCTTTGCTTCTGCCACCCTGTGATATTGCATGTCAATGGACATATGTGAATGTTTTCTGTCTAACTCAGAGTTGAAAATCATCTTAGCAGCAGATAATTGACAACATCTCTGAGTAAATCATACTATTGTAAATGCACACTATGGAAATTGTCTCACCTGTCACACATGTTAGCACAAATGTTTGTTCGGTTGTGTTGTCTTCCCCGGCCATGGAGATTTGCAGTTCTCTTGCAAACAAAAGCTTCATTCTGTACAAGTGAAAAAGTGGTTGACTTTGGAAATGGATGTAAATTTTCTTTTTTCTCCCAGGTGGATCCATTTCACACCTTATTTGGAATTGCTGGACTGTCTTTATTAGGAGAAGAACAAATTAAGGCCGTCAATCCTGTCTTTTGTATGCCAGAAGATGTCCTTCGAAGAATAAATGTACAACCTGAGCTTGTGAGCTAAGCCTTGTAGAGACAAAAGGTTGATATGACCAGTTGCTTTGGTTTTACTAATTTATAATCTCATCTGTGAAACTGTCAGCATATTCTTCCTTGAGATGTGTTTACATTATAGAAGTAAAGCAATAGCTTTGCTGTGGGCTTTGTCACTTTGTAAATTGTATCAGAACAGGCCGGTTCTCATAATCTAAGTGTAACATGTTCTTTGATTATATTATAAGAGATGTAGAAACATTTCCAATCTGTATCTAAATGTATGGGCCTTGGCTTTTTTTTTTTTTAAATATTCAAATCAAAGCTTGATTGTGTGAATGCCTAATTTTTGTGTTACTGTGATATCAGCCATGCTAACACTGGTCTTTACACAGGCCTCTTTTGATGGTGGATCACACAGAGCACTTTAAAAGAAGATTGAAAAAAAAAACCAACACAACCAACAAAATCCTACTTAAGCCATGCACTTAATGCCACACACTTGTGTATTTAATTCTTCCTGTTCATGCTTACCATCAGTTTTCTATACTGAGAAACAAGCTGCTTCTTCTGATAGTGATTGGTACCAGTAAAACCATAATTATGGTTCTTCTAAGTATATAAATGTCTTCATTTATTGATGAGTCCCTTAGACAAAATTCCACTGATATTTGACATACAGCATACCTTGAGTATACAGAGTGAAAGTTGCTAACATTAAGTATTCTAGAGAAGGTCTGTACAGGACAGTGACTTGTAATTGAATATAGAGCTGATTCTAAATTTGTTGCTGGGTTGAAATCCTGCTTTTGTAGCTTTTAAAACAATAATTACCAACATTTGATTATGGTGTAATTGAAAATAAAACTAGCTATGGAAAATACTTGTTTGCTGAAGGACGAAGTCCTCTTTGTCTTCACAGAAGTCCTAAAATTGCCTCTTAATTTACATTCCACAAATCTTGGCTGAGACTGAATGGTAGTCTAGTTGCAATATACAGTAAAAGGTAATTTTGAAGGGGAGGAAGTGTTTGATAATCTCTGTAATTGTGCTTAACAAAGGCCTAAAGTTGTTTCCAACACAGTTTTAAGAGCCAGCTGGTTAGTTTCATCCAGCCTGTCTGTATTAGTAGAGAGAAAGCTGAACTCGACAGAGTCACTTTTTCATAGACTTTTACTTCTAGTGAATTTCAAAGACAGAAAGTGAATTCAAATGCTCAGGTATTTCTAATGAATTTTTAAAGCCTTCCTACAGGCTTTTAGTTAAGGTAAAATCTCTACTCTTTTTGGTTGCCCAGTTGCTTGATGAATTCTTTGGTCAAAGCCTGGAATTAATTTATTTTTCAAGATTCGGAAAAATGTTACAATAGGCTTAGTTTTGACCGTAGGGGAATGAGACCACCAGTCAGGTTTTATCTTAACTGTAAAGGTTAACATAAAATTTTTAAATAAGTTTTTTTTCATTCCAGGTTACCTTTGCAAGTGCCACTTCTTTTCTTAGGAAGGTTCTTCCATTTTTTACATCAATTCTTTAGGTATTGTATTTCTAAAAAGAGAATCATCACAACTTCTCTTACACAAACAAACTCACATTTTTCATTAAATGTACTGTGAAAAAAATTAATTGCTGATTGTGTCTATGTTAAGACGTAATTTTGGTGCATTGTTACCATCTACCTCTAGTTTGTTAAAAATACTGCTAAGATTTTTTTCTGAGCTTATCTAGTTAGAAACTTTGCAGTAATTAATCTACTGTTCTCAGTCTTCAGTTACAGGTCCTTTATTAAAGGTTTTCGGAAAGTGTACTTTCATAACTTTTTTTTCCATTGAAATCTTTATATGGAAAGATCTTAATCCTAGGTACTGTAGTGTAGCCAACATTCCCAGCAATAAATTTTGAAAGATTCCGTATGAGAATTTGTGAAAGAATAGTGACTAATTCAGGTACAAAAAATTGTGTGTCTAAAGGTATGTTAATTAAAAGAGTAGCTCTGTTTACATGTGGGGAAATCAACAGCCATTCTGTTACCTTCTACATGGTCAAGTCCAGAGGTATATGCTTTATTCCAAATGTGCTTCTTTTAGGTTTTGTTGAGACAGCTTGGTTAGGTGAATTTAGCTTCATGATTTGTGACTATGTAAAAGGAAGGAAAGGTGAAAGATGGACCTTCCTTTTGTTTCTGCATTTCTTGCCATGTATTTGGATTTCTGTCAGAGAAGAGGATGTCTAACTCCAGCTGCAGGAGTCAGAATGCATATGGAAAGTTCGATGGAGGACTTCAGGACAGTGACAGTAACTGGAATTGTCACCTGCTGTCTTCCATACTTTGCTCTGCAGTGAGAGTTTCTGATGTTGAAATTTTTAAAGTTGTCTGATGGCAATGCTCAGTGCTGAGGGACTGCATGCCTGTTCTGAACGGGTAGGAGGGGGCCAATATCTTTCAGATGCCAACTGAGGAACTGCACCTGATGGAGTTGCTGTTGTGAAGCTGAATAGTCATCAAACTGCTTTTGTCCACAAGGAATTGTAGCTGGCTTCAGTTTGGAGTGTTTTATAATGCAGGTGTATTAAATGCCAGAGACAGAATAGTGCCTAGTGAAAATGTTAATTGAAACAGTTTTAGTGGTGTATATTACATGCTAATATACAAAGTAGTGTTAGTGTTCTGAAACATGCCTAGAAAGAAGCACATGTTTAAGACAATTGCACAGGTAAACAAGCTTTGTGGTTATTATGGGGATCTTTTTGTACCAAAATTCTTGAGCAGGAAGAAAACATCTGTGAAGCTCCCGCTGAAACAGTTTGAATGGTGAAGAATTAATGCGGGACAAATTATGTTTAAATGCAGTACTCCTGCTGGAAAGAGCATAGCAGGCCCTTTCCTCGCGTTCCTCTGCTCCTTGCCTATTTATAATAAAACCCGCTGCACGGCCAGCAGCTCTGTTTACTGCTGTATCATTTATAGCTGCACCTCGATAACTTGCTTTCTTTGACCCGGCCGGGCGCCCATCCCGACCCGGCGGGTCTCGGTGCCGCCGCTCCGAGCAGGGGCGGTCCCGGCGGCTCCCGGTGCCGCCATTCGGAGCGCGGGGCGGGGTCGGCGCTGAGGGGTCGCCCATGGCGGGCGCGGGCGGGCCCGGGGCCGCATCGGCCCTCTCGGCCCTCTCGGCGTCCTGCCCGAGCCGCGGCTCCTCCACGCCGCGCGCGGTCGGGCGGGCGGAGCGGACGCCCCGCTACACCCTGGGGCTGCTGCAGACGCCGCGCAGCTCGGACAGCACCGGCGGCTCCTCAGGCGGCGCGGCGCGGCCGGGCAACTCCAGCGGGGAAGGCCTCGCTCCCGGGCTCGCCGCCGGGAGCAGCGGGGCGAAGGCGGCAGTTTCCGATAGAGGAGGTGCGGTGTGGTCTGTGCACGGGTCTCGATCTCCTTCTTTATCCTCCTGCCCCTGTGCTTGGGTCTGGTTCCGCAAGAGCTGTTACAAGCGGTGCTTGCTGAGAGGGGCCAGCAGCAACCCACCGGCTTAGCGACTTTTTTTTCATTTAGCCTGCCAGAACGATGGAATTCGTTAGCACTTCTGTAAATAAATCTCTCTTACTTTCTTTGGATAGTAGTATCTGGGTTCCCTGGAGGGATCAATAAACTGGTTTGAATTGCTGCACAGTATTTGCTTCGCAGGAGAGACTTTGAACCACGTTCAGTTGGTGGGTTTTGGGTTTGCGTTTGGTTTGTTGGTTGTTTCGGTGTTATTGTTGGTGGTTTTTGGTTTTGTGTTGTTTTGTTTGTTTTTTTTTCCTGACCTTTGAAGTAGTTTTAAGTGCTTGTCATCCTTGATGTGCGGTAAGAACGTTATGGTCCTACATTTTGTATTTGCCATACTTTACATAAAGCTGCTTTTAACACCAGACTGCTGCTCCCCGAGGATGAGACACCTCAACAACCGCATAAGGAAGATTTGTGCATCAGTAGGTCGGTCACAGGACTTGGTACTACTATCAAAGTCTGTATCTTGGCAGGCAGAAAAAATTATTTTACCATTTGCTGAAATGCATTCCAAAGTATATATATATCCATTATACGTAAATTGGAAAGTAGGAAAAAATGGTTTTTGGATAATGAACATGATTACTGAGGAATCCTAAAAAAAACTAAAATCCTCAAATTAGAATGCTAATTTCAATAGGGCATAACTTAAATGTTGGTTTTAAGAAATATATATGTATGGTACATCTGGTCTTAAAATTACAGTTTTCCCCATGTTATGCAAGATTCAGGACCTTCTGAGAGTGAAGTCTCTTCTGCCAAACTTCTGAGAGAACTTATGTCAAAATCTTAAGTGAATACTATTTTTAAAAATCATCTGTATGCATTGCAATGCTGATTTGTCCACAAAAAAAAACCCCAACCAGTCTGAACTAATATTTTTATCAACTGTTAATAGTTTAAGATTAAAAAAAAAAACAACAACCACCTTGCCCCTCAAAAAAACCCCAAACAAACCCCAGTACTATAAATATTTTTGTGCCAGCTGACCACCATAGACTCGTGCGGTTAAAGGGTCATCTGAGAAGAATACTGACATATTTTGTTGTGCTTATCAGTTTTTAATGTAATGTAAGGCACAGAGTCATTTGAGTTTACCTGTCTTTTAATACCTGGAATTTTGTAAGTGTTAAGTGGAACAGCTGTTTATATTTTCATTCATTTTTTTTATGTTAAAAAGCAATTATCTAAACTTGATTAAGGATATGATGTTTTCAGTCATCTTGAGAATTGCAAACAAGTAAATGATTTAAATAATTTTTAGAAACTTAGTGTTCTGAGACAAAGATATTTTGCGGGACTTAAAAATGTAGATAGATCTTAAATACATGTGTAAAAGAAACTACTGTTAAAAAAATATATCCCAGATTATTGTGTGATTTGTGAGAGTTGATCCCCATAGATTCAAAGGGAGATCATGCTTAAGTGATTCTTTGCTTTCTTTTATTGCTCTGTTTTTTGAAAGGAATGCTCAGCTTTTAAAAAAAAAGGCTTTCATAAGTGTGTGATTTTGGATAATGATTTTAAAGCTGATGGGCAAATGCAACATGAAGCTGACATAGCATTCTTTCATAAATCTAGAATTCATTAGAATATGAAATTGTTAACTTTTGTTGTATTATTTCAGTCCAACAATGTAAACTATTAGATTTTTATTGCCTTTGCAAGTAATGCCCTTGTAGAAAATAATCATATTAATGCAAACTTGTTTTCAAAACAGTCTGATTTTTTAATTTCATTTTGTACTCTGGAGAGCTTTTATAGAATGACATTTTGCTGCGATATTTCTACTAAGAAAAATGAAGTTTTGTAAGCTGTATATTTGTATATTATTTTCTGAATAAAAACTTGTGTCTTTTTTTGTAACTCCCTTCTTTCTCCCTTCCTCAGAATCATATTTTGGGGACAAAAGTTCTTGTATAGAAAATGCTAACACACTGAATCTCACAACTTCTTCTTCTGTGCGAGGCCTGAATAGCACATGTATTGGAAAAACACCCCTCTCTTCCAGCAGATCTGTTTGCAGAAGCCATACGCCTCTTATGGGATATTCCGGTAAGACTAACAGTTCTTACAGGGAATAATCCTACTTACATTTCTTATGTTATTTTGTTAAGTACAGTTTAATTTTTTGATGTGTTAAGATACTGAAATACATTGAAATACATTTCAAAATACAACACAGGCTGTGTTTTGTGCTACAGAGGATGCTGGCAATGAACAGTACACCAACAGGAAAATACTACTTTAGATACTGAGGAGGTGTTTTGGTATTGCATCCTCTTGTCACTTGCTTTGCATTCATGTATGAATTATCAATGTAGTTAGAATTCAGACTTTTTTCAGATTGTCCAAAATTTAATTATATGTGTAGACATGTCAGTTGACATGAGGTCACTAAAACTGAAGAGCCCAAATTCATGCAAATCTTTAATTGGGGCATCTTTTTAGGCTTGTAATGCAGTGGACATCACATACAATATAATTCTCAAATTTCTTGATGCAAGTTTTATGCATTTTATGTTGGCATCTTCAGAGGTGTAGAACACTAGTTCTTCAGAACACTTACACAGTAGCTCATTGGGAGTACATCTTGCAGTGCTTTGTATGAACAAAGTTGTGTTCCAGGATAATGATGCCTTGTGCCATGTTATGTGTACCTGTGTGCTGTGCAAAAGTAGTGGGATTTAAAGTGAGTTATTTCACAGTCTGACTGATGATTATGAGTTCAGTCTTCAGTGTGTATTTGGTTATTCTCACTCTATTGTTTGTGATGCTCCTTGATCAATCTTGCATTGATCTATATTGATTGTAACTGAATATATGCGACTGTTTTACAGTTACATCCTCATCTGCAGTCTCTGCTCACAGTGTTGCATCAGTTATTGTAGCTGTAGTAGAAGGAAGAGGCCTTGCCAGAGGTGAAGTCGGAATGGCCAGTATTGACTTAAAAAATCCTGAGATGATATTATCACAATTTGCAGACAATACAACTTATGCCAAGGTATTTTGTAGTCTAATTATTGTGACTTACTTTCTTGAAAAAAGCTTATGACTAAAGGGAAATTAAATGTCTAGCTTGTGGAAGAGATTTCTCAAAAATGAAGGTAACAAGTTCTAGAAAATGGGCAGTGTTGAAAGGGCTGCTCTTTTCTTTACTGTGCCTCAATTTTAGAGAGGAAAGAATGTTTTTGCAAAATACACTTGTATATGGGAGTGAGATGCCTTGCTTTGAAGAGCATTGGGCAATGTATGGTAGTAGAACTTGAAAATATTTTTCGTCAGGCAAAAGAACTCTGAGAACAGAACTGCATAAATGTGTGTGTGTGATAGAGTAATTACAGGGCTGACTTTGGTTGCAGAAATATTCCTTCTCAGTTTGAAATGAAATTCACTCAATTTACAGCCAAGTGTTCTGCTTACCAGCACTGGATATTCTACATTAATTTGGAGAGTAGTCTCTGTGGTTTATGCAGGAGCATTAATGAAACATCTAATATAATGTTTTTGTTGTAGTTACACATGCTAGAAAATAACGTGGCTTGTAGCATCTTTGCAATATTCAAAGAAACAAAGACTTACTTAGGAAAGTAAATAGCTATGACTCAGCTATGAGATTGCTTGAGAAAATGTAGACATTCAGATGATCATGTGGCAACTTAAATAACAATTCACTTAGAGGTTTAAAAAAGAAAAATTGATTTGCTTGTTAGTAGGAAAAAAATCTTCTAATCAAAAGAATAAGACTAGAATTCTGCAAGGAAGTGTCAGATTATTTTTATGGAAATGGTTTTCTAATTTTACTAATGATTTCATAACAATTGCAGTTACTTCAAAGAGTAAAAGGCTTTCTTTTTAGCAAACAGTACCTATGTTTGTGGTCCAGAGTTTCCCCTGTTCTACTCTGTCAGGGTTAAGAACTGTTATTGTCCATGAAATTTATCTTTTTCAAACTGAGAAGTATTTTAGCTGCCCAAACTCTTTCCCCACCCCTCTACTTTTGGTTTTGTCTTGAATTTAATGATAAAATGCAATTACTTCTCAGAAGTCTTTCATACCTTCTCTGTAAACTCTGATAACATGACTCTCTTCTGGGTAAGTTATCATCTTCTATGACAACCTGTCAGGCTGTGGCCAGATTGTTCACTGTTGTCCTGTCTTACCATTGTAAAAGCTGGCATTTTTATTTGTAGAGATATGTACTTAATTTTTCATTTAGACCACTGAGTTCTCCATTCTGTGCACATACCTGGTACTGTATTCACCATCCAGTCAAAAAAAAAGAGATGCTGCTCTACAACTACTTTTTCCCAAATGCACTACACAGCCTAATTTCTTGCCTCAGTCTCTAACATGTTTAACAATACTATCAATACCAACTGATAGCATGCTATAATAACACCTTTAACAATACTAACACACTTTAATGATGTCTATCTGCTGATCAGCTGTTTTCTTACACTGTCAGAATCCATGTTTTGCTAGTGATTGGTATCCAGCTGTATTTTCTCTTTCTTGTGCACCCTTTTATTTTTAAATGTTCTGAAAATTAATTCAGTGAAGTTTTGTTGTATTCTTTAAATTCTTCAATATTTGTTTTAACTGTTGCGTCTCTGAAAATAAACTTCCCAATTACTAGGAGACATGAAGGGCAGTGACAGCTCTCCCACCCCAAATACCCTTAGATGATTTATTTTGTGTATTTTTCATGCTTGTTCACCTTTCCATTGGGACATCATCTCTCCCTTCTTTCAGATCTTAACTTCTAAGCACTTAAAATATAGTCCGTTTTTTCATATTTCTCCCTTGAGAATTTGTGCATGCTGGTATAAGTGAACATAAATGCATAATGATGTTTGTCCTTTCTTACACAGTAAAAACTAGAAGAGCACGTAATCTACTTTAAATTCCTACAGGAAATGTGTAACATAAAGCTGGTTTAAATATGCACATTTTTAGCCATATTAAGACTGATATCAATGTTACAAGAGGAGGTTAGAACAAAATCTAAAACGAGTCTCAATCAAAAGAGTAATAGTATTCAGACCTGTTGCATTGCTTCATCTTCCAGAGCACCATTAACCTTTCAGCTGCAAGCCCAGAAAGCTGCCATCTCTTGAAATAAGTCATCCTCCCATCATAGCCATGGAATATAGTTTTGGATATTTGTCTCTTGCTTCAATGGCAGATATGATTCTCTGTTTAAATAATGGGGGATAAGCTCTATTTTTTGGTTGTTTGGCTTCTTTTTTAAATTTAGTTTTATGTATATATAGATACATATAAATTTGACTCATTAGTGTAGAAGTTAGCAGAAAATTCGGTCTTCATTTGCAAGACTGGAACTGATTTTAAAATATTAGGGTTCTGTAATTTGTTATTGCTGGTTCTTTATTGTCTAGAATATTTTAGATTATTTATGGTTTGTTATTTTTTGTTCAGGTTATTACTAAACTCAAGATTTTAACACCATTAGAAATAATAATGTCAAACACTGCTTGTGATGCAGGGAACACAACAAAACTCTTCAGTCTGATTACAGAGCATTTCAAGGTGAGATCTTAAATTTCATTCCATGTTTTAGGGTTTTTGTTGGTCATTTTTATATGATTGTTGATTTGAGAGTTTTGGACAACTTTTAAAATGTTAAATGCAGACAGATTTTGTTTTCTTTGATTTTTGGGTCTAATTTTACCGTGGCAAAGAATAATCAAAATGCAGCTCCCACACTGCTACTTCTAATCCTGACAGTTAAAGACACAAGTATATTACTGATTAAAGCTGAAAGTTCTGAATTTGTGGCATTGGGTAATTTGAGTAATACCGAACCTAGGAAAGATTCAGAAATTAAACAAAAATCCAGCATTTTCTTTTACTTCTCCCTTCTTCTCTCAACCTGATAAATCCATGGGGCTGACATATCACAGAGTTTGAAAAAGAGCATTGGCAAGGTAAAGCCAGTGAGATGACCCTAGTATATGTAATTTATGAGTTTTAAAGCCTCAGAACCTTTATAATTACCTGTAGTAATTACTACCTGAATTGCTTCTTGCCTACAGAGCTGATGGCCTCTTCATGAGTCCTCTTCTACTTCTAACCTCTCTCCTCCTTTTTGCTCATAAATCACTGGTGTATCTGTGTTGAGTTACACTGACCTGCCTCTGCGAGTGAGCTCGAGTGAACACTTGTGTGAAGACACATTGCAGAATCAGTTGATAGATTTCTTAGGAATACATATCACTAGAAAAATAGAGAAGTCTGTCTGATGTAACTTTTAAAACTATTTACTTTCATCCCCATCTTCACAGAATGTGACTTTTACAACTGTCCAAAGAAAGTACTTCAATGAAACAAAGGGTTTGGAATACATAGAACAATTGTGTGCGTCTGAATTTAGCACCGTTTTCATGGAGGTTCAATCAAAGTATGTTTAAATAAGGAAAAGCATACTGTGTCCAGATAAGTTTTTAACAACTTTTTACGTTCTCACTACATGAGCCTTTGTCTTGTTGCAAAAGTTAGAAAATCACAGCAGAGCTGTCCTTCTGTTTTGCCATCTGGTGTTTCTGGTATATCTAGAAACCTTAATAGAAAGCCTGTTGTAGAGTTGTGTGGTTTTTTGATTTTCCACAGCTTTCCACTTTGTCCTTTCCATTCTTCCCTTAGAGATAAATTTGAAGAGCTATGATTGCCTTTTTTTCTGGCCTCAGCAAATGTTTTCCGTGTATCAGCAATTTTAGGTAGTGATACTTGGTGACCAGGGTCTTAAAGTCGCATATAACTACTGAAATATGTTATGTTCACAATACCAGCTATGCAGTGTAGAGCGTACACAGGCTCAAACATTCATGAATATTTGATTTGAAAGAATATAAATGTTCACTGGACATGTGTTAGTGCATGTTTGAAATATACTGCTTTTTCAGTGCTATTAATCCCAGTAGTTGTCAAGCAGAAGTGTGAATGTTATTTCTGTCGTGCATGGCTTTTGTGATACTTCAATAGCACTATTCAACATTCATTAAAAATTGTTTCTTTCCTAGGTATTACTGTCTTGCAGCTGCTTCAGCTTTGCTAAAATATGTTGAATTTATTCAAAATTCCGTTTATGCTCCTAAATCACTCAAGGTGCGTTTCCAGGGGAGTGAGAAAACAGCTATGATAGATTCATCATCAGCACAAAATCTTGAACTAGTAATTAATAACAGAGATTCTCGGTAAGAATATTTTTGCAATTTATGCTTTTATAAAGTTGTATTTCACTAAGTTTCCTTGACATTTGTGTCAAAGAGCTGACAATTATATTTATTTCTGTATGAAAGAATTTACATACCATTCAGAGCATTTAAAAAACATATTTGGACAGAGAAATACTACTACAAAAAATGAGGAAAATACTAAGTAGAAATGTATTTCTAGACTTTGGAAAATTATATAATTGAGGGCTAATATTATATTAAATTACATTATCTGACTTGCTAAACTGCTGTAGTTCATATAATATGTGTGGCAAACAGGAAGATGCTGAGCATCCCAAAAACACACCTCCAATTTGTAGGATACTCTTACCTGAAAATGTGACTTGACATTTACCATCTTTTTTTTTGGTGGGTGTATTCTTCAAATCTATTTTATTTTCAAAGGAATGGTCACACACTTTTTGGGATCCTAAATTACACTAAAACTCCTGGTGGAAGTCGAAGACTGAGGTCCAATATCCTGGAACCTCTGGTTGATGCTGAAACAATTAACATGAGACTGGACTGTGTTCAGGAATTACTCCAGGATGAGGAGCTCTTTTTTGGTCTTCAAGCAGGTAGTAGTTTATTTTTTAATACCTAATATTATATTTCTTGTTAAACATTTTTTCTAATATGGGGAAGTATGTAATGTGACTCAATATGTTTGAAAAGTATCTTTTTAATGCTCTGTTAGGTGACATAGTAGACACTTAATTTTTTGAAGTAATGTATAATATCATAGATGTGATATTTTTCTCAAGTATTTTGCTAAGAAAAGTGAATTTCTGTGATGCAGTGTGTAGAGGTCAGTGAGCCCATAGCTTTTTCGAAGAATTGGAGTTTGTCTCTACCTCTGTGGCTAGGTATGCACTGTGTTTGATGTATACAAGTGTACATAAATTACACATTAAACAAATAAAGACACTGCTGAAGTAATACTTGTGTATACATATTTTTTTCCTGTTGCTTCATAAAACATAGGGATCCAGAAAAATGTAAAATACAATGCCAGAGTATGAGTTAGTCCACCTGAAGCTGGATCATGTAATCTTAATCTGTGAAATATGAGTCAGTCTAAGAAAAAGAATATTTCTGAATTGACGAATGTCTACTTATGTAATGATCACTACATGCTTAGGAATAGTGAATGTAGTTACGACAAAATAATTTAGATAGCAGCTATTTTTAACCTAGTTTTTACCCTGTAAATAATTGATGAAGATAGCATGTAAGAAAAAGATTAGCATTAGTATCACTAAATAATTGTGTGCATTAAAAAAAAAAAAAGATTTTATTACAATTTCAGTTCAATTTCTGATGTGTTTACTTTTGTTTTACAGTTATCTCAAAATTCCTGGATACAGAACAACTACTTTCAGTTTTGGTACAAATTCCAAAGCAGGATACGGTATGTTTCGAAGTACACCTTGACAATCAATTATCTGGTTATAACATGCAATATATAAATGTGATATCTATAAATATACATAATACATTAGAAAAAAAGCTGCGTCTTAAAAAGACATGGAATAATGTTATCATAGATTAAGTTTGTCTCTTATGTTAGAGCGGTAGATGATTCTTGTAGCAGAATGTTAGAAAAATTCATGTTTGCATCAATATTATATTCATCTTAATTTATGCAAGTATACTTCCAAAAATGTTTACTTTTTCATCACTCCCCACCTTTATTCTTTATAAATGTACATCCTCTTCGACAGTACTTGGATGAGAGAGAGGAATTTTCTTCACATCAGCATCAGTGGAAAAAGTGCATGGTGATTTACGGTCCTAGTGACTGTTACTTTTCAAAGCAAGATTATTTTTTTCATCAGACTTTGCCTTATATATCACTCTGTACGTTAGAACACATGTAATACAAATACCAAAACAGAGTAAGTATATATCTTTATGCCAGCATCATAGATATATACAACTCTCTCACCTCTCAGTGTCTTCTCACATGCTGACTCTCCTGCTTAGATAAAGGACTTGTCTAATGCTAGTTAAAGAAATCAGGTACAGACTCCAGCAGGACTATAATAAATGCGGATAAATCTCTTTAATGACATATGCAAAACCCGGAATGTTTATTGCTCCCAGCTTTCCTTGTAGACATCTGTAATGTGAATGAGAGATCATTTGTATGACTAAAACTGTCAGACTGGATGCCTTTATGTATGCTCAGGGCCATGTACACCAAACCTTTTACTGCAGTGTTTTCACTGTTGACTGGTTCCAACGTAGCAGAGCCCACTATCCACACAACAGATGTGTTCATTCAAGTGCTAACTCAGTTGCTTTTATCAAACGCTAGGTTAACGCATTCAGTATGTTTCATTCCTTCATGCGTTACTTGAAAAACTACATCACTGGTGAAATCAAGTACTTCTTCTTACAAAGTTTACATATATAAGCAAAGTAAAGGTATCTGGACAAAATAAACCCAACATGGATTTCCTTAAAGACCCTCTTGTCTCAATCATGAAAGATCCTTAGAAGTTCGTTCAGCATTCAACTTTTGGTAGAGATGAGGACCACCTACTTTGGATTACTTGATTACCCATCTGAAGAACAAGTTCAGCAGATTTTGTGCCTGACAAAGTTCCGGGTATGTGACAAATTGATTCCTTCTCTGACAGGGAGAAAGTAGCAGTACTTTTAGTTCAAATGAGTTTGCAGGAAATAGAAAAGTTAAACTAGGGCTGGTCCACTGACATAGCGCTTAAGTCTGTGAGACTTTAAGTCCCCAGCACAAAAACCAGTCAACTGCTTCTCTGATCGTCTTGCTTTACATATCCAGCTGACTGTGGACAAATTGATTTCAGATGCTGTAGGGGATAGTCTTGCATTTTGTTCATGAATGAATCATAAAGTAACATTATATAGAAGAATTATTGGCTGATTGTATTCATTAATTTTCTCCCTTTGGTCTTAAGTGCAGCATGTACAAAGTTCAGACACCAGTTCAGTTAAAATTCGTGTAAGAACTAATTAGGCAAGAGTACATTCCATTAGGAAATACCAGCTTTTCAGATATGACCACATCTGTCCTTTCAGTGTCTGATTCCATCATGGGACTTAGACCCCATATTTATTTGGAATTATCATTCTTCTGTTCATGCATTTAGAATTGTTTAGTTCTATCTTTCATAGAAAACAACTTTTTATAGAATGTAAGATAAGACAAGAGATGCTCTCAATCACAAGAGCAAAGAGATAATTATATATGAATGAGAAAATATTTCATGTGGGGTCATACTCCCGTGTTCATGTGCTTATCTGTTATTTCCTTAAAATCCTCTTGCGCAGTGCATATGCCTTAATATTGGCATGTGCTATGCCTTAATATTGGCAGCAAAATTCTTCATCATAAGTGTTAGTGGGGCATACAAAACAAGGTAGAATGTGTATGTGGATGAAACATTTTGAAGAACAGTCATTATAGTAAGAAAAATTTTGAAATATTTATTGGATTTTTTTTATTATTACATAGTCAGGTGTTTAACAATGTACATATATTAACCAAAGAGAAATCAAGTAAACCGGATTATGTTGTGTTTAACGGCATTTATGGAAAAGGCTATGTGCTTCATTATAATGCCTAATGTATTTGCTTTGAAAAAGTCTACAAGGTATGTAGAGCTTTACAGACTTATGTATACACAGAAGATTAAAAGAAGTTTTCACAGCTTGGGTTAGCAGGGTGAGTCAATCATTAGACTTAATCTTTATCAGTGCAGACATATGAAAATCTTAGCTACTGATGGGCAAGCTATCACAGTAGGCAATGTAAAATTTAGGTGAACATTTATTTGTGCACTTATTAAGTTGTCGAAGTGAGCTTATGAAGCGTTTTAGGAATTTTCATTAAACGTATAAACCGGTTAGAGTTAAGAATACGAGTTGTACTAGTTCTTAAGTACTTTTTTAAACAGTCAGACATACAAATGCCTCAAATACTTGGAAAATTTTTCAACAGGTTAAAACTGCTGAATCAAAAATAACCAATTTAATCTACCTGAAGCATACTTTAGAACTTGTGGAGCCTCTGAAAGTAAGCTTTGTCCTCATCTTTTTTTTTTCTTTTTTTTTTTAAGTACAGACCATTTTGTCCTTAGTTTATAAAGTGCAGTTTGTTGATTTTCATAGCATATAGAATAGATTATCTTAAGTTGGAAGGGACCAATAAAGTAAAAAAAATACATGTTTTGCAGAACACAATACTTCCAACAGTCTGTTGATTCTTAAGCCAGTTGAAAATACACATTTGAGGCTGATACTCTGAAGAGCAGGATTCCTACCATTACCTGAATAATTGATGTAATAACAAACATTTAACTGAAACTCCCACTCAGATTCCACAAAGTACTTAGCAACTGCTGATAAGCCTCACTGATAAGTGAATCCAAGAACTTTCAGTCCTTTAAAAAGTCTACAAGAAGAAGTAACTGTTCATGTTCATATTTTAATCTTCAACAGGCTGCTTTAAGAAGCTGTAACACACAGCTGCTAAAGGCTTATTACAATTCTCTTGAAGATACAAGGTATTTAATCGTAATACTTGAGCTAGTATTTTAGAAACTCATCTTAAAAGTGCCTGTAAGTTTAAAGGTGTTGCATCTTTGCTTATCTATAGTTACAGGTACAGCTCAATTCTTTTGCCTAAAATCTGATTTTAATGGTCAGAAACTCCAATTTTCTACTAACAAATACATGGAAAAAAGCAAAAGAGCTAGCTATGATACTGCAACTGCTGATGAACTGAGCTCCATTAGAAATAATTCTGAAAAGACGAGTAGTGGTTTCCTAGAGTCCCCATAATAATGCAAAAATCAACTCTTGCTTGTATATTTGAGAAATAATTTGTATCTCTGGAAGATTATATCTCCCAGAGATGTGAATAGTATCTTTGGTCAGACTTAGGTATAGTCACACTTCATTCTGAGGTGAAAATAGAAATGAAATGTAGTGTTTTGTTTTAGTAGTAGATAATTAGCTTCAGTTATTTGAAATACTATTATTTGCAATACTATTTGTAGTCTGAGGATGATATTACAAGTAAAAATCATCAGGTATTATCTATCTAATTAGTGATACAATTAATATTGCAGATTTGGAATCATGCTTGAAAAGATTACAACTGTAATTAATGATGATACAAGATACACAAAAGGATGTCTGAGTATGAGGACCCAGAAGTGCTATGCTGTCAAGCCTAACATCAATGAATTTCTTGACGTAGCTCGTAGAACATACACAGAAATCATTGATGACATAGCAGGTATTTAGACATTAAAATTTTGGGGTTTTTGGAGTTCAAAGTACATTGCAGCTGGCATATAGAAGCCATGTAATCATACATGCTATGACTTTTGCAGAAGTAAAAAGTATTTGTGTTAGTATAAATTGATTGTCATTGATAAGCTACTGAAGTTCTTCTGAGATGCTTACTGAGATGCTCCGTTTATAGATAAAAACTCAATTGGATTTTAATGAAGTCGAACATTATATTGTGATTCCTATATTGAAAGCTCTGTTGCCCCTTATCCTGTAAAAGTACAGAAAGTCTGAAGTAATGTAACAGAATTATTCCACCTAAAGCATTCTGCATAAAACCTGTAAATCTTTGGTTTAGCTTCTTCATTTCAAATATCTGAGTTCTTGGTTCTTTATATTTTAAGCAGTCTTGATTTCTCTGCGGTCTACCTTTTAGCTATATTAAGAGTTGGAAAATAAAAACAAAAGGAATTTTAGCATGATGTGTGTTATTGTGTTATAGTAACTTTCCTGTTTAAGTCAAAATAGAAGGAAAAAAAAGTCTTCTGAAATTGAATTCCTTTTTTTAGTATAAAATGTTGATTTCTAGCTAAATGACCATCTTAGTTTAGTCTATAATTGGAAAACTAAAAGAGCATCAGAAACTTTAGCACCCGTCATTTGTTGTGAACTTCTTATTTCCTTCTAATCCTACATTCACACACAGTGAAAAGTACAGATGCTACTGTTTTTTACTTCTGAAACCTTCCATTAAGTATCCATTAACAGTATCCATCTTTGTTCCAACACAAGTATGTGTATGTACCTGAAAGTATATAATTTGAGTTAAATCTTTTTTTGTAGGTATGATAACGCAACTTGCAGAAAAGTACAACCTACCATTGAAAACCAGTTTCAGCTCTGCTCGTGGATTTTTTATCCAGATGAATGCTGATTGTTCAATGTTACCCAATGGCCAGCTTCCCTCAGAATTTACAAAGGTATCTGTACAAGATACGTTTTTTCATGATATATCTGTATACTTTATGTAAAATATATAGTATATATTAATAAAGTACACACTATACTGTAACAATCAAAATAATTTCAGTGAAGATAGCTAGAAGTAAATGAAGGTTTAATTGGTATGTTTCTATAACTACCCTATTTTGAGTTATAGTTAATAGTTCCAGTTATAGTCAGAAATGTGCAATTACATGCAATTATGTAATGTGTAAATATGAAGTTATGTGTCTTGCTGATAACTGTTGTCTGAAATGAATTTTTAATAAAAATTTATGGTAAAAAAAATTATGTGGTAAAAATGAAACCAGATGTTGTTCTTTCTCCTTTTTTACCCCCCATACTGTTCCCAATTTGTTTTTTTAGAAACTGTTTTTCTCTCTGATAATAAGGCAAGTTCTTATTGTTGGTTTCAATTCCCCGTAGATCACTAAAATGAAGAATACATATAGCTTCACTTCGGCAGATTTAATAAAAATGAATGAAAGATGTCAGGAGTCCCTGAGAGAAATATATCACATGACCTACTTGTAAGACCTGTTAAAACTACTTAATATTTGCTAACTACATTTATTTTCTCCAATTAACAATTAATTACAGTTTTTTTAAAGCTGTCTTTCTGTTATATCTACTTACAGAAATAGTCCAAAGCAGCACTGTTCAAGTGTATGTTCTGAGACAAAAAAAACCAAACATAAAGTGTGTATTGTATTAAACATGATTGCAAATATATAGGCATTTATTAATAAGGTTGGTCATCATATTAATTTTTATTGGTGAATTATCTACACAAAATGGTACAATGAATGCATCAATTTTGCATTAATAATGCAGAATCATTACTTCCAATCAGTTCCTTGTATTTAGAGTGGAACTGTCTATTTCTGTATCTTGTCCTTGCTGCATGTCATGCTGCTCTGCTGTCTGATTCAGAAGACTTACTAAAGTGTAATGTTGCCTGTCAATTAAATGGAAATTCTTTCTAGCAGCCCTGTAGGTTTTTATTAACATGAAGGTCTACAGGAATTAGTCGCATTTCACATGTTAATAAAACATGCTTGATTCCGTAGCTGTATTTTTAGTTCATTCTCTTTGTGAAGCTTTCATATGAGCTGTTGGTATTTGAGGTATGTGTCTTGTGTCTGATAGCAGGATGGGATCTGAGATGATGATATAAGATTTTAATTTACTTGAAAGAAATTTACACATGTGCTTGCATCTGGCAGATGTGATTGCGTTTTATGAGTGACTTTCTGTCCTAATGTATGCAGTACAAACATTGTAACTCCCTTCTTTCTGTAAGTTGGATAAAGTGACAGTATGTGCCATGCAACAGCTAAATCAGTGTCTTATTTCAGAATAGTGTGTAAACTACTGAGTGAGATCTATGAACATATTCATTGCCTGTACAAGCTGTCTGACATTGTGTCTATGCTGGATATGCTGCTTTCCTTTGCCCATGCCTGCACTCTTTCGGATTATGGTGAGTTCCTCCCTTGGTTCTGTTATGGGCCAGATAAAGAGCCTTCTGTTGGAGAATAACCGGGCTGTTTGGTCTCGTTCTGTTTCTTTTTGTGAGTCTCTGTAGTCTTTAGCTGAGTGTCTCTGGTCTGTCTCCATTTTGTGCTGATGTTCTTTCTGTTTCTGTTCATTGAAAATAAATTCTTCCAGTTAGCTACCGTAAGCATTCACAGTCAGTCTTCTCAAGATAGCCAGTTTAAGTATATTTTGTTCGAAAGTGTGAAGTCTGTGAACATTCTGAGTTTACACTTCTTTCTGTTCTAAAGGTAGCAAGATAATAAGAGCAGGTCAACACTACGTTTATACCATAAAACAAAATATGTCTACCTTTGTTTCTCTCCTTCAGTGTCTGTAACACTTTTAGACATTTTTGGAAGTAGAGCCTTCTGAGGAATCCAGGATTAAGTGCTCACCTGCGTGTTGTTCATCCTGCTTCCCTAGTCCAGTTCTCCAGTATATAAATGACCACATTGTCTTCTTTTACTGCTGGCTTGAGATACTTACCTACAGCACAAGATGGTGTAAATCAGGTCTGGAGGCCATCTCAGGATTTCTATTAGCTTATCTTTACTGATGCTGCTGTGTAACCTCCAGTCCATAGGCAGGATCTGTTTACTTCACAGTATGGACTGTGAACATTTATGTGCTGATATCAGCCACAGCACATGAACTGATCTGTAAATGAACAGTAACTGTGATATACTTGAGGCATCACAACCTTTTCCCAACAAGTGAATCAGAGCACAAGTTTTCTTCAGCAATAATCATAATACCAAAGCCATTCAGTGTCTCCAGTAAATCTGCAACTGCAGTTTGTGTAGCCAGGCACGAGTGTGCCCACCAAAAGAAATGGACTGTCACTTGTACCGTTCAGTCCCTTTGCCACTTGACTTTCTCATCTAAATTATTAAATCATAGAATGATTTGGACTGGAACGGACCTTAAAGATCATCTCATTCCAATCCCCTGCCATGGGCAGGACAGGGATGTCACCGATTAGATCAGGTTGCCCAGGGCCCCATCCAGACTGGCCGTGAAGACTTCTGGGGACAGGGCATCCACAGCTTTTCTGAGCAACCTGTGACAGTGCCTCACTACCCTCACAGGGAAGAATTTCTTTCCAATATCTTTCAGTTTGAAGCCATTCCCTCTTGTCCTATTACTACATGCCCTTGTCAAAAGTTCCTCTCCAGCTTTCTTGTAGGTCCCCTTCAGGTACTGAAAAGGCTACAGTAAGGTCTTCCCCAAAGCCTTGCCTTCTTCAGGCTGAACAATGCCAGTTCTCTCAGCCTTTCCTCATAGCTGTGGTGCTCCAGCCCTTTAATCATCTTGGTGGCCTCCTCCGGACTCCCAACAGATTGATGTCCTTCCTGTGCTGGGGACCCCAGAGCTGGAGGCAGCACTGCAGGTGGAGTCTCACTTGAACGGGACAGAGGGCAGAATCCTCCCCGTCACCCGCTGCCCATGATGCTTTTGATGCAACCCAGAATACAGTTGACTTTCTGAGCTGCAACTGCACATTGTGGGTTCACATCCAACCTCTCATCATCAAATGGATCTTTGTAATATGGTAACATAAAACTAGAAGGAATACTACTTCCTTGTTTCCCATGCATATATAAGATACATACCTAGGAGTAAGTCCACAACCCCTGTACTTTATAGGCTTGCAGCAGTATAAAAGTAACTACTTTAGTTCTTTGTGTTTTTCTTTATTACTGGAATCCAGCCCTACTTACTAGAAAACACAAACATAGAATGTTAATTTAGAAATCAAGTTTTAGTTACGGGTTTCTTTTTGTAGTAATAAATCATGAAGACTTGCATGGCAGTCAGAATGTATACCTGAAAGTGGTTGATAATTCTTCCTGCATGTTGGTCTTGCTCAGTACAGGAAAGTAAAAACTGGGACATCAAAACAATAGAGTTTGACTTTGGCTCTGCAAGAATTAACTTTATTTCAAAACATACTAGTTCAATAATGTAAGGCTTTTCATACTAACTCCACAGTGTTTTATATCTTTTTTCTCTTTTAGTTCGTCCAGAATTTACGGATACTTTAGCAATCAAGCAGGGATGGCATCCCATTCTTGAAAAGATAGCTGTGGAAAAACCTGTGGCTAACAACACGTATCTGACAGAGGGCAACAATTTTGTCATTATTACAGGACCAAATATGAGTGGAAAATCAACATACCTAAAACAGATTGCACTCTGTCAAATTATGGCACAGATTGGTGAGTGAGAGTGTACAATAGTAGTAATCTTCTGCAGCACATTTTTTTTTTTCTGGCTAAAAATTTTTATAAAGTTGAATGATTTGGCTTCTAGAATAACATTTTATCTAAATAAAATAGTAACACGTAATCAGTAGTCTGTTTGCTCCTACCAGCTCTTGTGTTGCTGGCAGAGGAAACTACAGGTTTTGCATCTGCCACTGGAAATTTATGGGGCCCATCTGTGTACCTGGAAGGTTCCCCAGTCTGTCTTTAGAGAAGCACAGCTGTGTGGTCTTAATTCTTTGGAGCACCATAACTCAGTCCAGCACCTTACTAGATTGATACTAAGTGTCCTTGAAGTATTCTGGTCAGACATAGGTGTGTTAGTCATCCAAAAGGAACAGATGACCTTGAGCATATCTCAGTTATGTAGATAAACATGTTTCCAGACAAGTATAATTAATAGATAAATAATCAACTACTTCAAATAAAAATAGTAATGAATACTGCAAGGTTCTGTTACTAAGATTATAAAAGTAAACCAACTGTTTGTAAAATCTAACTAAGACTCATCCCTATATTCAGGAATTCCTCATGACCTTTTTCTTAAAGCTAAGTGTGGTAGCACCAGACAGAGACCTTAATAGGCTGATTCTAACTCTACTAGAATGAAATTACTTAGCAGTGGAGAAAAAAAGTTATCCATCATGTGTTTGTGGGTTCAGTCCCCAAAAATTTCAAGTTCTTGAGGAATTGCCCTCAAAAACAGGAGTTTAATATGAATAAAGGAGACTATAAAATCTCTTTGCAGATTTCTTGTTCTTTTCTGTTTGGTAAAACTAATAGGCCTCAAAGTCTGATAAAGGCAATATAGCCTTGGGTTTGAAAAGCTAAGATTTCTTGTGATTAGTAAATCAGTGGTTACAGAAGTGTAAATTAATCCTAGTATTTATGCTCACTTTTTCATTCCTTTAGACTGACACAAGCTTCAGGCATATGATTTCTTAAAGGTTTTTTTTATATGCTTCTTTAATTATTGTATCTATATAATAATTTTTTTCTTATAAAGTCATGGTAGAACATTATCTTATGAAACTTTATCAGGTAAGGTACATTCTCTACTGTGCGTGAAAACCAAGTGTAAAACTATTTTTTTTTCCCACTGACATATTCAGGCAGATATCACGCTGATAAAAGAAACTTACATTTTACTTGCTTTGTAGGTTCTTACGTCCCAGCAGAGTATTGTTCTTTTCGAATTGCAGAGCAGATTTTTACCAGAATAGGTATGGATGATGATATAGAAACAAATGCATCAACATTCACGAAGGAAATGAAAGAGGTACTGAACATAGCTAATCCAGGGTCGAAGGCCCATTTTTACTGTTAAGCTAATAGAAATTATACTGGTGTATTTCTACTGAAATAGCGTACTTTGAAAAGTAGTCCGAAATCCAGCCTTCATCTCTTTGATAATAAACCACAGAAAACCAGGCATATCTTAAATTAAAAGATATTACAATGTAAGTAAGAGTCAGTGCTTTGTTTGATAGCAGTTTCAACATTTTTTGTTTTGCTTAAACCTTAAATGATTATTTGTAGGGGCCTAAGTCCTCTCAAGTCCCTCTCCCAAACTGATATAATTTTGAAGGAATGTGGTATGTTCAATGGAAAAGAGAAAGAGTGCTGTAGTATTTGCTTGATCAGAATTGACAGCTGTTTGAAAGCTTTGAAAAGGTAAAAGTTGTGTATTTGACAAGATTTTTAAAAATTTCTGCAGTTTCATCTGAATAACACAAAATTTTGCTATTTTTTAAAAATGCCTTTATAGGAATGATAACACATTGAATATTTTCCTAGATAACGTACATCGTACAAAATGCTAATGATAAATCACTCATCATAATTGATGAACTTGGCAGAGGTACCAGTGCTGAAGAAGGTATTGGCATTTGTTATGCTACCTGTGAATATCTGTTGAATTTAAAGGTAATTGAAGGTTTTGAAAAAAATTTAAACCTTAGAATTATGTTGTCATCCTGAAAGTAAATATAGTATTTTCTCATAATTTAACATCAGTTTTGTAGAGATTTCTTGCCTAAATATGATATTTTTCATAATGGGTGAATAATAAGAATTGTGATGATGGAAAAATGCTGACATAAGCTGCACTTTTGTTTGCTGATTGGTGTGGTTTAACCCCAGTAGGCAGCTAAACACAACCCAGCCGTTCACTCGATCCCCCACACTGGAATGGGGGGGAGATCAGAAGGGTAAAAGTGCAAAAACTTGTGGGCTGAGATAAAGACATTTCAGTAGGTAAAGGAAAGCTACATGCACGAGCAAAATAAGAAACTCACTTCCTATTGGCAGGCAGGCGCTCAGCTATTTCCAGCAAAGCAGGGCTTCATTACACATGACTGGTACCATAACTCTGAATGTCCATCCCTTCTCCTCCTCCTTTGCAGTTTTTATTGCGGTGTTGGATGCTCTGAGATAACCTTGGGGATAGTTGGGGTCAGTCATCCTGGCCATGTCCCCTCCCAGCTCCTTGAGCACCCCCAGCCTGCTCGCTGGCAGGGCAAGGTGAGGAGCAGAACAACCCTCGGTGCTGTGCAAGTGCTGCTCAGCAGGACCTAAAACCTGGCTGTGTTACCAGCACTGTCTTGGTCCAAAACATAGCACAGCACAAGTTTCTATGAAGAAAACTAACACTAGTCCATCCGAAACCAGTACACTGTGTCACCATATCTTTCCAACTTGCTGGCGAGCTTGTATTTTTGTCAAGAAAGAGAATAACCCAGTCTCTTTAGTTTTGTTTAGTACAGCTTTATGCTTCAGTGTTAAAGGTGAACCTCTTCACCTAGAGGTTACCTTTCAAAGTAACAGTGGTAGTTCCACACAACTTCTGAACTGGTCACAGAGGTTAAAGTCTTTAAAAAAGGGGATTATGGTTTTAGATGGGTTGAAAGTTTCACCTCTAGTATTACTGGTTATGTGATCAAGCTCAGGTTGCTGCTAGCTTTTTAAAGTAAGTGTGCAGGTGTTTGTTTTTCCTCAGAGTTTATTCAGAGTACTTTGTGGGCTTTTTGGTTTGAAAAGCTCAGATATTTTCTGTTGCTTGTACTTTTGATAAAGCATTCCTTGAGAGTATTAAGCAACCATTTGACAATCATTCAAATTAACACTAGTCAGATTTTGCATAATGGGTTTCCTTTTGCTTCTGTTCTTTTCCTCCTATTGAGAAAGGAGCAAGAGAATCCCCAGTTGGAAAAGATATACTTCCCAATGGTAGAACTCATCACTTAAAGATGTTAATTTGCTTTAGTAATTTGAAGATAGCTTTTCGGTGGTTTGGAGGAAGACTTGGACATCTGTGAGATAATTTAATGTTTCTTATTTATTGTAATTTATTTCAAGATTATTTCCAAAATAATTTTTCTTTCTTATTTCCTTATTTAGGCATTTACACTGTTTGCTACACATTTCCTGGAACTGTGTCATATGGATGCTTTGTATCCCAATGTGGAAAATTACCATTTTGAAGTGCAACATGTGAGAAGCAGTGCTGGAAATAAGGAGAAAATTGCCTACACTTACACACTTTCTAAAGGATACACAGAGGAAAAGAACTATGGTAGTGGATTCTGCTATGGAATACTGTTTCATTTATTAGGCATGGAAGAGTACTTTTCTGATGACAGTTTCTGCTGAGTTTGTACCTCTCTCTATCAAAGAAAGATACAGAGATCTGCAGATCTCTAGTGTGTTCCAAATACTTGTGTGTTCTAAGTAACCATGTAGTAAGATAGTAGTTTCGGGAAGTATGAAGACTTTACAAGTAATTTCGTAGTGAAAAAAAACATTTTACTAATGTCAGTAGCTACTTGATTCATGTCTGTTTGAATGAGTTGAGCCACTATTGGATTATGGGTCAATAAAGGAGTGAGTGACAGTAAGGCATAGCTACATGTTTTAAAGATTTACAGAAATCTGTATGTTTCCAAATACTAGATTCTGATGTTGAATCCTTGATTTAGGTAACATTTAATCAATAGGAAATTATCTACACATGACTTTTGCAAGCTAGTGGTAACAGAAGACTAGAAATTATTCCAGTCAAGCTTCAATTAGCTGGACTTAAAACATTTCTTAATTGTAATTTCAGAATACGTTTGTTTACCTTTGGCAGCACAGGCTCAATTTTAGGTGCTACACGGCCACTAACTCAGAAGAATTGTATGTTTGGAGAGTATTCTCAGAGAAGAGGAGACCTTTAGAAGCTCTGTGTTGGTGTCTTGGCTTTAGCTTACTTGAGCAAAGTTGCATTCTAAGAAAGAGTGCAAGGGCCCTTCATGACCCTTTTTCATTTTTAACCCTACAGTGTTAAAGCACCCAATGAGCTACAGACTTTCCTCAGAACATTCAGGGGCACAGGCAAAGGAAGAAGTTAAAAAATCATGTTAGGGCCTAAAAAATGCTTTACATCTCTTTCTTACCCTGAGTATCTGGAAGTTTGGCTATTGCCAACAAAGTAGAAATTGGAACATGACATCCATATTCACTGGATTTGTGGATTTAATGGAGAGTGCATTTAGCACAACCTCAGTATTTTTTGGCCTGCCAAATTAAAAAACTAAACTAAGAAAGCTTTTAACACCACCATGCCATTATTTTCCCTTTCACCCCTAATGTGTCTCATTCTACCCAGTTATAGTATTACAAGCAGTAACTTCATGTGAAGGTGTGTTTTAGAGGTAGCTTTACAACAAAGTAGATATTTTATTTTGTAACTCTCAAAACCATATTGTTACTAACAACAACCAAAAAAAGGACACTAAGAAAAAATGTACCAAAATTATTTTAATAAAATTTATATCTTCACCCTTTAAAAAAATAGGCTAAGTTAATCCTGGAAGATATAATGTGGAAGGTAGAAATAAAACTTACATCAAAAATCCTGACTCATGTTTTATATGTTTAGGACTAAAAGCTGCAGAAGTTTCCTCCCTACCATCATCTGTAATTTTGGATGCAAAGGAAATCACAAATCATATTGCAAAACAAATTTTGGTATGTAGTAGAAGATTGTAATGCTGTAATTCACAGTTTTTATAAAACTCAAATATATTTTCAGTTTCTGAAAGGATACAGGATAAGCACTGCCTGTAGAAAATAGATTTCATTAAAATTCGTATTTCTGGAACCAGTTATAAAAGGTTATACTGAAGGTCACTGTTAGGTGACAATAGAAGACAGCTCTCAGGGTAAAGCTGTATTGGATGCAATGTTTGTATACAAACCCAGAATTGGGAGATCTAAAATAGGCTGGAAAATAGCTAATATTAGTATTTTAATAATAGAACATAATTTATTTCATATTTTAATGCATGTATATTTTTAAGAACAGCACAGGCAGAAGAGCACTCCTGAGATGATGAAACAGAGAGCTGCGTACCATTTAGCAATGAGATTGGTTCAGACTGCCAGAAACTCTCGATTGGACCCCGACAGTTTGCGTATATATTTGAAAGGCCTGAAGAAAAAGTATGAAGCCAGTTGTCCTGCACCTGGAAAAAATGATGAGCAACAGTAATGTGTAACAAAGGCTGTTGCTCTAATTTTTACAACTGCAAGATGATTCTGGTTTTTCCCCCATAGTATTAGAAAACACTTTTCACATGGTTTTAAATTTTTAATTCTTAGTCTAAATTATACTCACTAGTGGAAGACCATATCCTTTTTGGTTTTTTTCCCCAAAGCATACCTGGAATAAAAGCATTTACTTCTATGAGGAACACAATTCTTTTCGACAGTAAATTATATAATTTTAGTTATTTTAGAGACCAAAAAAGTTATATAATATTTAGTGTTTTATAGATGATATATCTGTTACTACAGTTTTTACATCTGATACAAAAGATCTTGCCTAAGAAAAAGCATTTTGAAAGAGATGGTCCACTTGTCCTGCATAGGCAAGCTCTACTTGCACTGTTGAACATGCATCCAGAAATCCTGTTGTTCCCTAGTCAAGGAGGGTTCTAACTCCTGAGTCATTGTGTGTAATCTAATGTAATATAGGCAGTACAAGTCTGCTGCCCCTCGAGAATTGGGCAACCAGAGCATTTTTGTAACACAGTAAATTTTGTAACAGTAAATGACTGTGGTATTGACACTGTTGATCAGTTTTTGTTTAGAAAGTGAGTAACAGGAAATCAATAAAAAGTTAAATATCATTCTTCCTTGATTTTTATTTTTAGCACTTCATTGTGTGACTGTAATTATGTATTCCAGCTTGAAGGAGTTTATCTTTTCTCACTCTCTTCTAACCAACTTTGGCTAAGAGGTCTTATATATTTCTCTTATATATGTGTGTGTGTGTGTATAGAATTTACTATGCATATAACTATAAAATGGGTAATATAAAACAGTGCAATATCTAATTATTAACAAGAAATATATTTTTATTTATAGTCGTTTCCTTTTTATGTATCTACCTTTGTAAACTTACCAGTGCAACAGAATAATTTGTAGTAGGCACACTGTGATTTTTTACCTAAGAGGATTTTTAATTGATTTAAGCTATTATCTACAATTCCCCTCTCTTCAGACCTTAAATGCTGCCAATTATATTACTCATACCCATCAGTAATACCATATTTGTTGTCTACCCCAGTGAGGATCATGGCAGAAAAAAGTACTTTTGTGTTCAGCTCTCTTAACAAGAGGAACCAGCTGGCAAGCAATACACGTTTCAGCCATTGAGTGCAGAGGGTGCACATCTCCTTGTTGGGCTCAGCACTGCAACACCAGGAAGAACAGTTCTGCGGGTTCATGCCTGGGAGCCTGGAGTAGTTTGACACCTCTTTGTGGTGACTGACCCTGTTGGGATTGAGGGCACGGACTCCGTTCCAGTGCAAAAACGAAGACCTTTACTTAAGAATGCATATACTTATATACCCTAGGCAGAATAATAGGTAATTCAAGCAGAACAATTGGTAATTTTCTACTTATGCTTACTTTCTCAAACTACATAATTCAGCATATGCTTTAACAGATACAAATAACTACAGTTCTTAGCAACCAAGGTCCTTCTTGCAGTCTTGTGTCTTCTTTTTCCATGTCTTCTTCTCCTGCTTACTGTTCCTACAGCTTCTGCCAACTAGTGCAACAATGTCCATTGTCCCAGGCCCGAGGGACGTGACACTGTTCACCTCCATAATTACCCCTTCTTTGTTTATAATTAAAACAGCCTTTAATGCTTTGTCTATAGCTCGTTGAATGCACTGCATGAAAAGCAATGTGTATTGTTTTCTGTAGACTACCTCGCCCTTTGCTCATCATGGCCTATGTTTTTAGGCAATTTTTTCACACACTCTTACTGTCTTTTCGCACTGTTCTTCAGGTACTTCCCACTGATCAGGAACCAGTCTTTTCTTTCCACACACTAAGGCTACTATGTTAGCTTCCGTAAGTGGGAGCACTCGTTCTCGTGGGTCACAAATTCTGCAAAACTCTGGTCTTCGAGAAGAGGCACAGTACCACTTTTTGTCACACGCCTTACACTGACACAGTACCCAGGACTGGTGGTCAGTGGTATGACATTCAATACAGGGTATAGCAGAAGGCAAAAGTTTTTCTAACTACCAGTTCTCTAGGCTGTCATGTTGCCAATCTAGGGCTAATAACCGTGTGTTTCTTGTATAATAGGCTCCGCCTAGCACTGGTTCACCAAAAACACTGTATCCATATTCCCATAATGGGCCCCCACTTCTCCCAAGTCCAAACCAACGTCTTAGGGACATTCGTTGTTCAGTATCCACAAAACATGCTGCTGGTCCTCTTCCGAGGGTCGGTCTGAGGGTCAGTCTAAAGGTCTGGATCTGTAAGGTCGTATGCAATGCGGTCCTTTATCTGTGGAAACACAAGCATAACCTGTACAACAAGGAGATGTGCACCCTGTGCACTCAGTGGCTGAAACATAGAGCGCTTTCCCAGCTACCCGCCCGCTCTCACGGCCACGGACCCTCCGCTGCCTCTGTCCGTCACGGCCGGCGGCGGCAGATCCCGGGCCGGGAGCGGAGCTGTGTGGGAGCCGGGCCGGGCCGGGAGCGGGGCAGTTCTGCGGGGCGGGGACGCTTCCGCTGCCTTTCCGTGGCGGAAGTGGCGCTGGGGCGCGGGATGGCTTCCGGGTCAGCGGCAGCGGTTCCGGGTTAGCGGAAGCATCGTCTCCGCGATCACCGCCATGACGACGCTCCGCGCCTTCACCTGCGACGACCTCTTCCGATTCAACAACATGTGAGCGCCACCCGGCCCCCCTCTCCCCTGTCCCTCCCCCGAGCCCCTGCGCGCTTCCCCTTCCCCCGGCGTGCTCGGTGCTCCCCGCCGGGCCCGGGCTCGGGCCCGCGCTGAGCGCCTCTCTCTCCCCCACAGCAACCTGGACCCGCTGACCGAGACCGTATCCTTCCCGCCGGGGCGGGGGCGCGGGGCCGGGCGCGGGCGGCGCAGCCGTGGCGGCCGCAGTTGCTCCTTAACCGAGCGCCCAGTACGGGATCCCCTTCTACCTGCAATACCTCGCCCACTGGCCCGAGTACTTCATCGTCGCCGAGGCGCCCGGCGGGGAGCTGATGGGTTACAGTGAGTGCCGGGTGCTCCGGCGGTAACGTCTCCCTTCATTGCCTATATGGGGCATTTTAACGCGGGAGCTTTTCCTACTCTTCGCGTTTTCCACCGACCAGGGAAGAGGAAGGTTGCGTTGCATCTTCCCGTTTCATAAACATCTGAGGGTATTACGTGGGACTCACGGCAGCAGCTTCCAGTTTGACGTTCCTAGTGCAGCGAGGAGCCTTGGCTGTGGTAGCGTCCACCCGGGTTTGGTACAGGCGAATAGGTGTTTATGTAATCCTGGAGTCCAGGTCACTGTGCTCAGCTCTGATCACACACAGTCAGTAAACGTGCTGGGCTTGGCTTTTGCATTGTCCTGTAAGGGAAAGCTCTGGTTCTGGATTTCTTTGCACATTTAGTGCGGAATATTTGTGTTTTTCAGAAATCATGCCAGAGAGAGCTGCCAAGAGGTTTTGAGCTTCTGGCCCTCTGTTCCTCTGTAACTTCAGTCAAATCCTAAATTCTGTTCAGTGAAAGACTCATGAGAATTGCTTAAAATTCACATTTAGAAGTCACACCTTAAGCAAGGAATTTGCAAAGTTGTTTTTCTTTACACTAGTTAAGAAATTGCTGTAATACTTGAGCAAAATGACATGCTCTGTGGTTGCTGAATCATAGAGTGATAAGGTAGACATTCCTGTTTGGGCCTTTACCACAACCATTGCAACGTTTGTTTATACACGGCTTATTCCTCTTGTGAAGTTGTGTGGTTGCAGGGGGTGTGTTACTCCAAAGGTGCTGATGCTCTGTGTGTTCACAGTCATGGGGAAAGCCGAGGGCTCCGTGGCTAGGGAAGAATGGCACGGACATGTTACCGCTCTCTCTGTTGCACCAGAATTCCGACGGCTGGGTTTGGCCGCTAAATTGATGGAGCTACTGGAAGAAATTTCAGAAAAGTGAGTAATATGCCTATCTTTAAACTTATCTTTAAAAGTAATATTCTTCCAGGCACCTGTCCCTGGCTCACGTATTTGATGTGCATGAAACTGACACGGAATTTTGCTGTAAGCAGTGTTCTGACTTTCTGAAATTCCTCATAGTTGGAGAACAGGAATTATGAAAGTTGCTTAGTGGTTTAAAAATCTTGTGATTTCTCTGAGCTAGAATGAGTAGGACATAGCCTGAATTCCAGTAGCGATACTGTATAAAAGACCCTTTTCTTGACAGGAAAAGAGCTTTGTGAAACATCAGCAGTGTTTCCTGTTGCAGGGCCTACAACGTACTTGTTCAGTAACTGTGGGCTTTGTGCAATGCATTCAGGCACAGCCTTGAACAAATTTTGTACTGCCGACAAAATTATTTTTTTAGCTTACTTTCTATCATCTTGGTTACTTGTATCTATGAAAATTTAATTTAATGTCAAATGAACCCACAGTGAAATGTCCTTAACTTATTCTAGTAGGGCAACTCCACTTGGTAAAAACAGAAAATAATACAATATTTTGAAAAATTTGCCTTGTGAGGTAAAGGACTATCCCCCATTAGGCAAATGAATTTAGACTTATTCCATCCCTCCTAATCCAATGCATTCTAAAATGTGGATTTATTTTTTTTAAATCGTATCACATGGATATGAGGCTTGTGTGCCTGTTTAGCTTGTCCTTTTCTTTCTGTTCATATTTCTGAAGGCAATGGCTGTTATAGAAGGGCTGTGTGACAAAAATAAAATGAAATCTATGCCTATGCTTGAATTTTCCCTTGGTAAAGGAGTCCATCTGTTATTACAGTGTGGAAGATGTTTGATTAGTGTACTACCTCATCAGACTTGCTTTGATATGATTACAGTTTATGAGTTGTTACTTAGAAATACATTCACCTACTGTTCCTTAACCTGTTTTTTCTTTGTTTGTTTTTTCCTCCCCCCGCTAAAGAAAGGGTGGATTTTTTGTTGATCTCTTTGTGAGAGTATCAAATCAGGTTGCTGTAAATATGTATAAGCAACTAGGCTACAGTGTGTACCGGACGGTGTTAGAGTACTACTCTGCCAGCAGTGGGGAGCCAGATGAAGATGCTTATGGTAAGTATTTGTTCTGCCTCAAGTTGAATGGAGTGATTCTCATGTTGAGGGTTCCTGGGCTTGTTTGTAAGACTATTATTATTTTTTTTTTGTATATGAAACAATTTCAGATACTTGTTGATGAATGAGATTTTGTATCCTCCTTTAGATAACTTTTCCTACTGAAGATTACATCAGTTACAAAACCTAATCTTTCAGTTTACACACTTTGTAGCATCTCTGGCAAAATAAACTACAAAATAAGAATAAAAAATGAAAAGGAATGGAAGTGCTTTCTTCCTTTCTTCCCATAACTGGGACTTGAAACTTTGTTTTTCTCAGATGTCTAACTACAAATTTACAATGTCAGTGGCCCACAGTGGCAGAGAATTGGGTAACGTTTTCAGTGTAAAAGGGAAGGAATATGGAAATTCAACTATGTTAATGTTGATTCTGTTAACAAAAGTGCTTCCTCATTCTAGATATTTTTTTCTTTTAAGTATTCTCCCAAAGGGTTACATGCCCATGCTGTGTGTCATTTCTGTTCTTGCACTATTCATTCAATATGTAGGATCACTATGAAATATAAGGGCTACTGACATATATCTACTGTTGTTGCAAGTGCCTTAAATCCTATATTTGTCCCTTTAGCCTGCCACTTCTTTTCCATTCGGTCGAGTTTCATGCAGTGTTATATTTCAGTTGATAACACTGCTGCTGAACAACGTTAAGGACATTCAATTATTAGTGTATCTAGAGGAGAGCAGCCAAGATGGTGAAAGGTCTCAAGGGCAGGACTTAGGAGGAGCAGCTAATGTCCATGGGCTTGTTCCACTTGAAGAAGAGAAGGCTGAGGTGTGCCCTCATCACAGTCTAAACCTTCCTCAACTGGGCACCACTCTCTCTGGTGACCAGTGATAGGACATGAGGAGATGGAGCGAAGCTGAGTCAGGGAAGGTTCAGACTGGATGTTAGGAAAAGGCTCTTCACTGAGAGGGTGGTTGGTAACTATAATGGGCTCTCCAGGGAAATGGTCATGACACCAAGCCCATCAGAGTTCAGGGAGAGTCTGGACAATGCTCTTAACCATATGGTTTAGTTTTAGGTAGTCCTGTGTGAAGCAGGGAGTTGGATCCTTATGGGTCCTTCCAACTTGGGGTATTCTATGATTCTAGGAAATTTTAATATTTAATAATATTTAATAATATTTAATAATATTTAATAATATTTAATAATATTTAATAATATTTAATAATATTTAATAATATTTAATAATTAATATTTATTTTAATAGAGAATTCACTTCATATGGCTTTGTACAATGACCACTGTAACTATAATAGCATTTTTTCCTTTTGCCACAGATATGAGGAAAGCTCTTTCCAGAGATACAGAGAAGAAATCAGTTATACCTCTGCCTCATCCAGTGAGGCCAGAAGACATTGAGTAACTGTAAGCTGTGATTCTCAGGCAACTTACTAAGTGTCAGGTCTGTCCCCCTCAACCTCCAAAGAACTTATGGATGAGAAATTTTAGGCTTAATGTTTTTCCCTTGAAATACCAAAAAACAATGTTGAGGAGCTGACTAACACTGCTTCTGTAGGTAATGGCTGTATACTGTCACACTTACTCTGTTATTTTTCCTTTCAAATATTGGAAATTCAGAGACTATTAAAATGGAATTACCTCCTATGTGGTCGTTTTCTTGGTATTCTTTCAAACCAAAGTACCTGAGATCAGTCATAGTAAAGACTCTTTAAATGCATTTATTCATGACCAGTGAAAATACTGTACAATACCCAAGAAACTTGGAGAAAAGTCTTTCCTCTCTTCATGGCACGGGCATAGGATTGAATTGTTCACTGTTGAGTTGAAGAAGCCGTACAAGCAAGGCAGTCAAGGGTTTTTCTCATTGTGGACCAGATTCAAGACAATTCTGTGTCCTGGGTGCCCACATGTTCCTTGACGTGCTGTATCCGCTAAAGTAACTTGAGGTAAAGATTTCTTGTTTTCTTGTACTCCCCTTGCTCAATTTCAAGGTCAATGTAGGTTTTCCAAAGAACCTGCTCAAGAGAAGTCTCTTATGTTCACATGTCCTGCTCCCAGCCAGGACAGGGTTAGTGTTTGCAGTAGCCAGGAGGGGCATGGCCAGGACAGGGCAGGGGTTCAGGGGTTCCTTCTGGTCGGGTGGGGTCAGGCTCTTTGGTGAGTATTTACATGTGAACCACTCTCCTCTTTCTTGTACAGTTTTGTCATTAATACTGTTGCTGTTTGTTTTCTTATGTCATTGCTGTTTCCAGTAAATTGTTCTTATCTCAGCCTGTGATCTTTACCTTTTGTACCTCCAATTCTCTCCATCCACAGAGGAAGGGAAGGGGAAGGAGGGAGTGAGCTGAGCGAGTGGTTTCAGTGGGAACACCAAATGGGAGAGTACCATTCCTAAACCACAACATAACAATGTCTTCAAACAACCCTATATCTAACACTAGATAATAGAGTTTATGTGGTTTTAGTAGAGGAGCATGGAAAAATGTGGCATTTGCAGAGACAAAATTCAGAGATCAGAGTATTAATTGACTGTACAAGCTTGGATTAAGACCCAGCAGTATCTT